ATTATTGACGACAGCCATGACAATTACAAGATGAAAGAGGACTTACAATGGCGTAGGCGGGGTACAGGCGAGGGAAGGTGATAACTTACTGGATTTGTTCCTCCACAGATGTCTGATTTTCGAGGAGTTTTTTGCGGTGCTCCTTGACGTACGCGTGCAGGTTTTCTCCGCTCCGGAACTGCCAAGGGGAATCATCCGGTACGTTCGACCACCTGGTGAGGAGAGCAAAGGCCTCATCCGTCGCACTGTACATCTGAAAACAAGGCGGAAACGAACAGTTACATCTCTCCGTTTGATGTATCCATCCATACCCAACACGCGGGGATTGTGATCTAGTATGCTCTCTGATTCCATTCACATGAAACAAGCATTTAGGAACCGAACAATATCTTTCATCAAGATTCAGCAGCACATAAGAGACGGATAAAAAGACTGGGTGAGGTGCTTCCTGTGTGTTGGTAGTCTATTTAAAACCACTGGAACAACAAAGCGGCTTAACTAGATTCTCTTCTGACTGTGAAATGAACATAAAGCGATGATACATCTGGCTATAAAGATGTGTCTGATCGAATAGGTTTGGAATTTCTGTTACTGCACATCTAAATGCAAATCTGTCTAGAGGGCGAAGCCATTCTGTGTAGTCACCTGAGAAGGGCATTTGAGTCCTTAAATGCTGGGATGTCGGAAGATAAGAGATTATAATAATAGGAGGGGACGTGCGGTAAGCGGTGAAATCAAACTTTAGATACTAATCGTCTAAAGATGAGCTCTTTTAAAGCTCCCGAGAGGTTTACTTGATATTATAACAGCTGAGGTTAACGTACGTTCGTTCCCAAACCGCAGATAAGGTTTTGGTGAACGTACTGCTTAAGGATCCGAATTACTTTTCCTATTTAGATGTAATTGCTTTCCCCACACTTTGTCTTTTAGGGCTACGTGCTTCACAGCTCGTCCTCAACCTCATATGACCTACTACATGTTATTCGCGTTGACGTATTGCTTACAGTTGATATGATGTCCTGCTTTTAATTTCCGGGGAAAGGAAGAAATGGCTGATCGGAAGGCCCGGTATAGGGAGGGGAGAACCCATTTGGCATGATATGCATGAGCGTAACAAGTCGTCCGGTTCGATGTGATATAGCTAGCCTCCGCCGCGCCAGCGCGGGTACCTGCGAAGCTGGTGTGTTACGCCGAAGGGCGGTTATACTGGCTATACCGATACAGATACAGACAGTAAATTTCTATGACATCTCCGGCTAATATTGCCAGTCGTCTTCAATATACAGTAAATCACACTGCTAAAAGTACTGTGGAAACGCTGACGGTAAAGACGAGAAAGCGTGGGCGTGCGCACAAGCTAACACAAGCCTACTGAACATTTGCTGCTTAAAGTGTAGATAATATTTGCATCCGATTATTTGGGTGCATTAGCGGCAATTAGTCAACAGAGGCTTACAAGCATTTAGCCTCATTTCTTGCGTTTTGGAGGGAGGGGAGGGGGCGCTAATTTGTACTCTTTTCTAATTTTCACCATTTGTTGATTTCCCAGTTGCTTCCCTTCCCTTCCTTCACTCCCCCTAACCCTAATCCTAACCCTAACCCATCCTACCAAAACGCTAGCCTCCACCACCAGGCCTTTCTATGCGAATACGGATCGTAGAATTCGGCAAAAAAGAGAGAGTAAAATTGGCCAAGGGAGACCGGGGAGGTAGTTTCTTAACTGCGCGGCCAGTCAAACCTACAAGGCGTCCAAACTCCTTTGCCAAATATTCTCCTATATATAGCCAGCGTAAGATAGTCTGGAGACTACCAAAACGCGGCGCACTCGAAACGCCAGCAAAGGAGGCTAACAACCATTAGACTCATCTATAAAAGCGTCTCTCGCCGTTGTATACATATGCATTATACACTCCTAAGACTTTGCTTAGTAAACATAAAACATCTGGGTAAGCTCCCTCCTTCCTGCGCTCTACAATTACTTTTGAATTTTCTAGACTAAGGAGAAAATAAATACATGGTCGTACCTGCGTCAGACGGTCGTACACTCGATCGTTGTTGCCGGAGCCAACATACAGAACTGTGGTCCCTCTCTCCACCGCCAAACTCACGGCGATCAGACCCATCTCCGTGCTGAGAGAGATCTCTCCCGACACTACCTCAGCCGAATCCTTCTCTCTCTTCGTGTCGTGGACAATCATGCTGCTCTGAACGAGCATCCCCACTACAGGGACTGCCACTAAGAGGAGGATGCTGAAGATCCTAAAACCTTTGCCCCTTTTGGAAAGGGCTTCCCTGTCTTTAACTTGCATTCTGCTGATAACGTTGTCGTCTACCGGTGTGAGCCGGCGCTCGCACATTGTGCCTACTGATCCGGCTCTTACACATGTAATACCACTCTAATACCATGGTGATATCGTGAAAAGACTCCGCCCCCGCTTACCATATTTGGAAACATCAGAGGGCGTTGCCGAAAAACAACGGTAAACCAATGAGCATCTCATATGTGGAATAAGCAGCCGGGGAGTGTGGGCACTTTTACTGTCGCTCAAAGATATAAGAACACATTTCTGTATGCTGGGCCCCCAAATGCCATACAAATGGTATATTCTAGCACAAGTGTAGATGAAATGGTTCGTACGTTGTCTGCGTACGACCACGTAACTGTAGCCAGCGGTGCAATAATAGCATGATTTATTTTCACGTAATGCACAGCAACAGGCTTTATTTAGCTGTAGGAAATGACCTGAAGGAAATTGTGTTAATGATAATTTTTTCCCTCGTATTGAGTTTGTAAAACCAATTCATATCGATACAAAGGACAAATATTCTGCGTATCTAATAGGCTCAGTATGCTTTTAACAAGACTTAAATACTGAAAAACTAGTAGGTGGGATGTCGATGCAAAACCTAAACCTCCGTCAGTCAACCGTACTGAGCTGAGAATGACGTCACTGAAGTCCTTGTAACAAATAGTTTAAACCTTTCCTGGGCTCTGGTTATCTTCATGTACCTATTAATTACACCCTGGTAGACAGTGATTTTTTATGTTTAAGTTACTAGAATGTTGTCGATACGCAACCATAGAAACAGGCTTCATTTATCTGCCAATATGGATGGAAGGTAGGTAAGCATTTTCATCATTTTCTGGCATGCAGATTGTAACGCCAATAAAAAAGCCATCCTCTTTACAAAGCATTTTAAGCTCTTTATGGACATGGATATAACGTTAGATCTCAGTTCACGTTCTAGAACAAACTTATTTCTCTTTCATCATTGGTTTATCATAAACGTAGCGGGTAAACTTGTGTTTCTATATCTAAAACATATCTCCGCTAGAACAGTACGTATACGTTGACCCAAATTGGCCACAATGCTCAGGTGGTCATGTAATGTATACGCCTTTCACTACCGACTAAATGCTATCTTTCGTGACTGAAGGCCACTTTACAGGCCTTTAATGAGAGAAGAAATCACACCATTCATCGATGACGCTGGTACTGTTAGATCTAGGGCATCAGTCGTGGTAAGAGCAGGAAATGAAACATCACAAAGATAGCCAGGAGCTACGTCCTTTCGAGTCTGCGTTGTATGATAGACGTCTTTAATGTTAGCTGGCCAAGCAGATTGGGAACAACAACATACTTGTACAATGTACCTTTGAGTTGCCTTTATGCACCTTTGATTTTTTTTACCAATTATGTTATGTACAACAATCATCTCTAGTCTGGCCTTTGATTTGGACGTTTGATTTATGTTTCTATGATTTCTGTACCTATGTTTCTGTTCATGCTTATTGTCTGGTGTCTTATAAGCCCATATGGGCTGGGCAACAAAAGGCACGTAAAAATTCATCCATCCATCCATCCATTCATTCATTCATACTTGTGAAGCAGTTAGAGTTGTTGTAATTTCTTGTTTTATTCATTATTGATACAAAAAACTCAGATTCAAGTTCAGATTGATTTTTATCACAACACATTCTCCTTAGTTCCTGTGACTCTACTGGTTCCAAATACCTACAGACAGACAGTCAGACAGACAGATAGACAGACAGACAGACAAAGACAGTTCAATCATGATTTCCAGACAGAAAATAAATTGTCCAAATGCTTTCCAGTCTCTGAAAATACAACATTCGAGAAAATATTCGAGTTATATAAATACCATACAAGAGACGTGACGTAGTTTTCCCCAGGTTAGTATCTGAAACGTCCACCTCTGGAATGAGTAATAAAACTTGGCGGCACATAAACTAGTGTGATTTGATCACAATTACGTTTGGAATGGCAATAAAGCGGACAGGGAGCTCTGTATCCGTAAGGAGATAAGATTGAAATGTTATTCTGTGGGTACACCAAATTGCCGATGATGATTATGCCAGATAGTTCATTGCTCTCCGTGAAAACTGTCGGTAAAACAGGCTGAGATGTTGATTATCATGTGAGCCTTTACTGTCATTACTGCGTATTTAAGATCATCTTCACCTATAACCACCTCTTTACACTAAGCTCCCGAAGCGTATTAACGCCTGAATACACCGAAGCAATACATTGTAACTCTTAGCGACAGGTACAAATTTAAGTCCTGTGTCCACCACCATCTCAGCACTATTTGCAGCGTTCATTGATTAATCTTAATGGAAAAAACAAGTGTGGACCAGATGTCGGTGGATCGTCCCGCTTCCCAAAAAAGTTGGTTTCGTGAAAATCGGTCGACCAGCTGCTAACCTGTGCTCATCATGTATAGATAAAAAAAGCACGATTCTTGTGTTATATCCAATTTTAATTGAATTGCAGCGAGGCAATACGATATATCCACTCTCATCTCTATTAAGTTACATAGGAAAACGTGAAACAAATACAGCATTGATTTTATCCATTTATCTCGCAACAGATCCAGTTTTTGTTTCTAAATGTTAGGTGTGTGGATTATATGATGGTGCAATATAGTCTTGGGCGCCGGGAGGAGCTACTGGATGGATTGATTTTTCTCCGGGTCATGTTATCTTAGGTTTTAGTAGATAGAGGGGTTAGGTAGTCCTGTTACGTTTCGGAAGATGGTGCTACAGACTAACGTTATAACTTCTACGTTTGTTCTGCGTAAGACGACGATGTACACATCTTAATCGTAGGCGTAAATGATGGTTAATTATATGGACAGTAACAATTCATTGGACTTAGGCGAACTGCAATGTACAATTATCTCGCTCTGTGGCGATTTTGAGCTTGTAATATGTCCTATTTTATTTCAAGGCATAGGAATCGAATAATAAATGGATTTTTTTCCGACGAAAATCCATAAAATTTAGTCCTACCTTAGTGTG